GATAGTCCCACATGAAAGCGATAGTGATTATTATTAGTTGATAGTCCCGCAGTCAACAATGAAAACAAAGAAGCTGCACTAAGCACAGGAAAAGTAAAGCCCATCTCAGAAGTGACTAACAGAGTAACATTTATAAAGTTTACACAGAAACTGTGTGTGTGTGTGTGTGTGTGTGTGTGTGTGTGTGTGTGTGTGTGTACTGATGGATGGATGGACAGACGAACGGACGGACAGACAGATGTCTCTAAAATATCAATATGTACATGCGAGCATGTTTTTCAACTTTTGGAGACAAGCTGCCATGTGAGAAACCAAGAAGTTGAAAACTGGCCTCAAGACAGCACGAGTGTGTGGGTGAGCAGGAGCAGCACCCTCCCTACCACCCCACAGTGATTCAAGTCTGCAGGTTGGGCTGCTGGAGAACAGGGACTGAAAATGACCAAGCAGCACATCTGTGCTTACCCAACTACACTTGGAGGTGTAGGGAGAGGGCACGCATTTCGACTCTAAAGGCTCACATAGATAGGGAGTAAGTTTGTGTGTGAGTGCGTGTGCACTGAAGGTGGATAGTTAGTCACAGTAGCAGATCAGGCATAGATAAGGACTGGCTCTCAGTTTTGTCAGATCTTTTATCTGTTACATGACAGACCCTTTTGTTGGATTTAGTTGTCTCGTGTTTCATTAGGCCACAGGACAACTATCCTCACAGGGTATATAGCTTACATCACTAATAATATTGTAAAACTATAAAAAGCCTCTGACAGAATAAAAGGTTTTAAATCAAACTTGAAAATGCAAAATAACAGAAATGTATCTTCAAGTATATAGTCATTCTCACTTCCATACCATCTTTACCCTTTCTGGTCACAGAATTCTTTCCATAACCTCTTAGAAGTGCATTTAGATAGCTGAACCCAAATCCCCAAACAACACAAGATTTCACCATGTGAAACTCATTAAAGTGCAATTTCAATCACCACCAACTACTTTACATTTGACCATAACCTTATTTTCTGCCATCAGCCTCTAGAGAGTTTGCCATTCTCTCTGATTTAACTAATCTTACCCACAAAGATTATGATCTGCATGAATCTGTGGGTTCAGGTAATCCTTTGGCATTATCAAAATGCTCCCTTGGATCCTCTTAGGCCAGAGTCACTTTATAGGAAAGGGTCCTAAGGAAATTATCTGTCACCCAATCGTTCTATAATAAAATACATAGCAGCAGGCTACCCAATCTAAACACAAATGGAAATTCCTGACTCCTGGGGGATCTGAAAGAAAAAAAAGTCAGGGAAAGCAAGAAACCAATTTAAAGTCACCAGCAGGGGAGGCCAACCAAATGAATTCTCAAGATCTCTAAACATTGTAGAGTTTTCAAATATTTGTCAAAAAATTGCAATTATTAAAAACAATAATATTCAATATAGAGACAAGTAAAGATATTATGTAATCTTAATCATCATGAAAATTGCTACCTCTAAACACAAATTTATTAGAAGCCTCGAATCACATTTGCTGTAGATAGACTATTCCATCCATTTCTACTTTTCCTGTGATTATTTAGACCTAATATGAGATCACGGAAATAACATATGTGTTTACCTCAAGAACAGTGACGTTGATGGCTGCTGTTGTTTCCCCTTCTTCTAACACCAGGAAGCCCATCACAGGGACAAAGTCAGCCTCTGGCTCCGCTGGATTTCCGTATGTCTCATTTTTCAAACTCAGTATTCCAGAAACAGTGGCATATGTGACATTGATAGCTCCTAAGGGAATTTGTTGTAAAAAGATTTTCTGATTTTCCACACCTTTAAAGCATGTCTCATTGGGAACTCTCTCCTTGTAACGTGATCCCTCAGTCTTTCGCATGTGTACACCTGTCGCCTGTGTTACAAGCATAGGGATGGTGGACGGCTGCCAAGATGCAGGCCCCTGCCTCTGGACTCGCATTTTGCTATGGAACTTGTTCTGGTCAATAGTACAGGTGAAAGTGGTAATGTCGGAATTTTAAGACTATACCCCGGGGGCCTTTATACTTTTGTTTGCTTTATTCTATCTTGACTTATCCCAAAGGGATGATGAAAACATGAAGAACAGCCACATAGAACGAGCCCACCTAGGAGGCAGACCCCGAGCAGCCCACTATCTGCCCTGGGACTAAATGGCTGTTGGATACACAGCATTTCTGTGAAAACAGATAAATGCTTTGGTAAAAGTAGAGACGTTACAAAATACTATCCTGAACATCATTTTCCCTAATGGATTTAAAACAGAATTTGAAAAATAAATCTTTTTTTTAAAGGCCCTTCCCTTGATATCCCATTTACCACTCGTTCCCACAAACCTAGAGATCCAAATTCTCTGTTGATGAATAGTTGAATCGTTGTGTTCGCCTCCTGTAACAAAACAAATCTTGAGGAGAGAGCGAAGTTTAGAACTCCATGTGGTTCATCGCTGGCCTCTACCGTCAGGACAGCTGCGTATCCCTGGGCATCAAGCAGAGCGACTCCCGCAGGCAAAACTCCTAAATACATCAAGGAGCCCATCAGGAAATTGAACACACCTTTTCAGAAACTTCAAAATCCTTAAAATGCTACATATTTGCTGAGCCTGCGGAGCCTAGCCAGTCCTCAGGCCCCTTTGAGAAATCAGCAGGCTGAAAACTAACAAATTTCCTTCCACACAACAAATTGTGAACTCTTCTGTGTGGATGGTATTGTCACTACAAATTATACTGGTTGTATAAATTATAGAAAGTAAACAACCCACCCAATTTTTTCATTGCTCAAAAATGGCCAAATTTAAATTATCCATAAACAGCAATTGGTACAAAATCTAAATTGGTTTCCTAACAGAGAAACAAATTCAGAAATTTTTATCTTTAGAAATATATTTTGTTCAATAAATATACAACATGTCAACAAACCCTGCTTAGGCTGAGGTAGGAAGATAACTCAGAGAACATGAAGTTGTGGCCAGCCTGGTCTACACAGCAGGACACAGTCTCAGAAAACTAACCACTGCATAGTCGCTCAGCATCTGACATCATTGCTAAGCTTGTTTGTGGATGAGTGCGGGTGGGTTCCTGTGTGTGTGTGTGTGTGTGTGTGTGTGTGTGTGTGTGTGTGTGCGTGTGCGTGCGTGCCATGACAGTACACATGTGGATGTGGACATCAGTAGAAAACCCTGGGTGAGGTTTTTTTTTTTCCTACATACTTGGGACAAGGTCTTTTGTTTTGTTTAGTTTTGTTTTTGTTTGTTTGTTTTTGGTTTGTTGAGACAGGGTTTCTCTGTAGCTTTGGAGCCTGTCCTGGAACTAGCTCTTGTAGATCAGGCTGGCCTCGAACTCACAGAGATCCACCTGTCTCTGCCTCCCAAGTGCTGGGATTAAAGGTGTGTGCCACCAAGGCCCAGCTGGGACAAGGTCTTTTGTTATTTGCCAGACTAACTAGCATGTGAGCTCCCAAGGATTCTCCTGTCTCCATCTTGCACCCTGCTATAGGAGTATTTGGGATTACACGTATGTAGAACCATGTCCAGCTTTGGTTCTGGGTGTCTGCACTCGGGTCCTC